TTTTTTAATAATTAAAGATAAAAAATAATTTTAATATATTAAAGATAAAAAATTATAAGAAATTATTATTTTATGTATTTTTTATTAAAAAATATTATATTTTACAATGCAAAACGATGTGTATCTGAGATGTACTCTTGGTTTTCCATTTTTTTAATATTCATATAATTTAATAATTTAATAATAAGGTGTATTTTATAATTAATATTGTTAAAAGAAGAGTTGAAAATAAAAGGCATAAGTTCCAAAGCCCACATCTGCAGGTAAGATTAGATTCTTCTTCTGTCGTTCTCTCTGTTCCTTTACTCGTTAAGATCAATTGCAAAATATTCAAACCAATCATGTGATTTAAAATAAAATAAAGAAGAAGAAAAATATATAAAAAAGGAGAAATTAATAAACTTTCACTTTCCGGTCACCGCTTCCGGTGAAACCATCGTCAAATGAAAGTCTTGTAGCTAAAAATTATCAAATAAAAAACATAAAACACATATATTAATATAGTTTGATAGCTTTTATTTTTAGATATATTAAATTAATATTTTTTATAGATTTAATATATTAATATCAAGAAAATAAAAATAAAACCATCTTGCTATATTTTTAAATAAAAAACACTTAAAAAAAATATACTGCACCATAAAATTAAATACACAATTAGTAGCTTAATTAGTGAAATTCTAAATTTATTTCTGGAAGTTACCGATTTAAGTTTTATAAATTTTAAAGTCATCAAAAATTTATATAATTATTAATTTTAAAATTTATAAAATTAATTAAAATATTAATTAGTCCAAAAGGTTTTTATTAATTAAAAACACTCACATTAATTAAAAAAAAACATACACTTGGCCACGGAAACTAAAACATGGATGCATGTAGTAGAGTCATGTGTCAACTATTTATTCTTCACGTTCATTGAGGTTTTTCTCCTTTTGAGTACAAGTTTGATGGTCGTTTCTACCTAATTGTAGGATATTGAGACATTCTGGATCTTTTATTAATGGGACCTAGTAGTTTGGCTCAATCTCTTGTTGATTTATGGCAACTCAAGCTCATTTATGTATTCGAGATGAAATAACTTTCTACATATATACTAAGAAAATTGATAATTTTTAACTTTTTTTTATCATTCAAATCATTAGTTGTTGCCTAAATATCATCTGTTAGATGTTTTTTCCAATAAAAATTGATTTCTCTACATGTATATATGTGATTTATTTGTTTTTGGTTTGGTATTAATGAAATTGCTATTTTCTTTTCTTAATATTCAAGTAATTATCTAATTATTAGCATATTGACTCATAATCCATAGCATGTTAATAATAATTTTTTTAATATAAAAAATAATAAAAATATAAAAAATATTTAAAATGTTTTAGATTTAACAATAATACTAGACTTAAATCTTTTAAATCTAGTTGAATCTTGTGACCTGGTTAGACTCAAGAATATCAAGTTTTGGGTTAAATAATTATATTAAACTTAATAATTTTGAGTTTTGGATCCGACAACTATATCATAATAAAAAATAAACGTCCTTTATAGTTCTTTGAATATCTATAACATGATATGCTATATAAATACTCTATGTACATAGTATTAACATAGTAATTTTCTTACATTTTTTTAAATATAATATAATTTTTTAAGGAAATCACATGGAAATGAACCGTAGAAAATTGCCTAGAGGATTAATATACCACCATTCCATTGTGAGAATTTTAGTGCCATCAAATTAGAGACATATTTTCACATTAATTAGCACTCACACTGGCTACTGGCCAGGTTGTAGTAAAAAACAATTTTTGTTCAAAATAAAAATATTTAGATATTGATAATGTGTTTTCTAAAAAAATTATAGATTTTAACCATAAATTAAACAATATTTCAATTTATTATTGAGATAAAAAAATATTTAATTTATTTAGGTTAACTTAGATTAATTTGTAAAACTTGTGAGATTAATCTTGAAAAAACAAATTAAAAAGTTTAATATTTGATTAACTCAATGATAAAAGTTTAAATAAGTAAAAAAATAGCATTTGATTAAAAAAATAAAGTGAACTAAAGTTAATTAAATAAATCTATAATGAAATTCATGTGAGTTATTGAATTCAATAATTTTTTATTTTAAAGATTAATTTTGATATAATTATATAATAATAGAGTGCATGATTTTTTTGTATAAAAAAATATTTTTTAAAAGTAAAAAAGAAAAAACTATAATAGGCATATGAGGTTGAGACAGGAAAGATAGATAATTGACAATAAAGGTGGAATAGTATTTTGTTAGGTATGAGTTAAATAAAAAAATATAAAATTATATTTTTTTTAATGAAAGAACAAAAAAATTATTAAATAAAGAAAATAAATAATAGTCTAAATGTTATGGATTAACTTGTTAAATCTAGTATTACAATAATGAACTCAATTGGGTTCAATAACTTGTTTTATTAAAGAATTTTAAACCAAGAATAAAATAGCAAAAAAAAACAAAAATAATCCAACAATGTAGATTCATACATTTTAAAAATACCTTGATGTGTGTGCCTTTCATCTTGTGAATCCAGATTTGTCTTTTTATTTTTTTTAAGAACAAATAATTTATTGTTTGCTTCATTTTTTTAAAAAAAAATAATAGATGACATGTTAGTCAATTAATTTTTTTTTCCATATGAAACAACAAAAAAGTATTAAATTGAAAAAAATAAAGTTTGATACTGAAATTAAATTTTAAAAAACTAAAGGGATTCATTACCTAATAAATAAAGAAAATAAAAAACTAAAATTAACTTTTTAAATGAAATTTTAAGATCCACCATTTGCACTTTAATCCTATGCCTTTTAGTTGAACCTTTCATTTAAAAAAAAAATATATAATTAAATACTAATTTTAGCTCAGAATAACATGATTATGTGAAAAAGGTTGGAGAGTCAAATTAAAAATTTTAAAATTTCTGACCATTACAATCCACAAACATCCGTGAGAGAGTGAATAGTAGAAAAAGGCTAGCATGAATTACCCATGCAGCTTAGTGCTTTGTAGAATTAATTAACAAATATAATTAAACACTAAGCTTAATTGGATTAAATCTTAACCTCCCATAAGTTTATCCATTGTTTTACTTGTTGTTTCGGAATATTTTCATTGTCAAATCTTTAAAAAAATGTTCAACACTTGCTTAAAAACATTTGTAACCTTATTATTTTTATTTTAAGATAAAATTTATTTATTTTTAAAAATAGCATCCAATGATTTAATAATATTTCTAATATCAATATAAAAAAAAATCTACAAGTCTTACTACTCAAAGCATAAACTTAATTGACATATTTTAGTCTTTTTAGATTGGGCAATCTACAAAAAAGCTAAATAACCCCACTCTCTTGTTTTAAAAAATAAAATAAATCAATCTTGGTTTATAACTCTTTCACAATTTATAATAATTTCGAGTTTAGTAAATTAATCTAAATATTAGTCTTCCTTGTAAGTTCTCAAGAGCACAGAAACTAATAAGCATGGAGTTTAGTAAATTAATCAAAATATTATTCTGCCTTCCTACTAAATCGTCTCATGAGAATGAACATGAATCTACAACTTTAGGATACCATGAAGTTGAATAAAATATTTAAAATCAATTGAACCATATTCCATATATTTATCAGATTGAACTATTCTTCTTTTTCTTCTTTTTATCAAATCTATTTGCAACTTTTTTTAAAGCAACTAGTTGTCTTCTTCAAAACCCTCACTTTTATGCTTTATTGTAAAAACATTTGAATTTGTAGAAAAGTTATCAATGAAAGTTAAAAAAGAATGATTACCCTGAGTATTTAAAATATTTTTAAATTCACATTTATCAATATATATGATGTATCAATACACTACATACTAAAAGGTCATTCTTTATAAAAACTCATTACCAGAAATGACCGAAAAAAAAATTGAATTTAGAATAAAAAATAAAATAAAAATATTGCTTTTTTTTTTTTAGCATATTTGTCTTATACATTTATAAGTTTGGTATTTTACCAATCTAACTTTCATGAATTTGGCTATGCACTAAATTTAAATGTTTTTGATGTATTACTAGACAACTCAAATCTAATTTTTTTGGATTCGGTTATGTGAAATACTCAAGTACTTGGGAGTTTGGTATATTACCGAACCTGATTTTCTTAAACACGATTACACCCTAAACCCAAATATTTATAGGTTTGATATCTTGTTAGACCCAACTCACTTTAAGATTTGTTTTAGAAATAAATACTTGAAGTGGAAATCTAAAACCATCATCTTCCTAATATATTAAAAGATCTTCTATCATCTATTTTTATGTTAAATTATAATATTTTTATGTTAAATTATAATATTAATGTTGATTATAAAAAATGGTTATATTAATAATAATATTATGTATAAATTGATGGAGGACTATCTTTTAGAAGCATATGATATTTTTATTATTAAATGTTGTTAAAAAAAACACTAATTATAGATATTAATATTGATTATAAAAATCTTTTTCTTGCTTAGAAAAAGACTATCCGAAGCAAAAAGGAAAAATGTTATAATTGAATTCTAAAACAACCCAAACCAGAAGATTCACATAAATCTAAGTATTTATCATACATATAATAACAAATATTTTTGTTATTAAAATCTCAAAAAAACTATTTTTGTAAGAAATTAAAAATGAATAAAAACAATTAAACTAAGAAAATAAAAAACAATAAACCGAGGGGAAAAAAAAACCTATTAGAAAACCTAAAAATTTACAATTAGGTTTTGATTTTAAATATCCCAAATCGATTAAACTAGAACAAACCGGTTCAACACCCAGCTCGTTATCTCTGCCTCTCATCTCTCTCAAGTCCCAACTCCAAATCAAACCCAAAAATAACAGCCCCCAAGCTTTCTCTCTGCCTCTCATCTCCTCCATCACGCTCTGTTCTCTCTCTCGTCTCTCATCTGCAATAGATTGCATCAGCTATAATTGCTCGAGCAATCAGGACCTTCTCAGCTAGAGGCATGGACCCACAAAGGTACTCACAGTTCATTTCCACTGAATACTGCTATTCTTCCTGGCAATTATTTTTCCAACTTTTTTCTGCAGAATGCACTTCCTGAGGATGAATGGTTTGTTGAAACTGCAAAGACAGCCATCAATAAACTTCTGTTAGGAACATCTAGGTCAGACATCTGAGATTAACGAGGACCATATTATCCTACATGACGAGATGGCCTCCGACTCCAACGACACTGTTTTTTCCCTTTCATCAGTAGAATCATTTGAATCTTTTGCTTCTACAAGATGAGCAAGGCCCTCATTGGTTACTTTTAATGGTGCTTTTTAATTTGTTGGGTTTGCGTTGCTAGGTTCCAGGAGGAAAAAAGGTTGGATCAATACAGTGAGTCAGTGAGTGAGATAAAGGATAAGAATGGGTTTTCCGAGTTTTACTGTTCCGAAATCAGTCCGTTTTAACTAGTTTTGAATTTGAATTTTATTTTAAAAAAATAATTTTGATTATTTTTTAAAATGAAAACCTTTGAATATATATATTCAATTTTAATTATTTTTTAAAATAAAAATCAAATCGAATAAAAAATATTATTTCTACACGAAAACCAGTTTTTATCACCCATCCCTAAAATCTCTTGAAATCCTTAATTATAAAGAATAGAATGGAAGATTGAAAGGAACCCAATGATCATTCATGATAAAAAATAATTTCCAAGCATTTTAAAATTTTAAAGAATCATCAATATAGAAGTTCTGGTAAGTTAGAATTATGCCCAACACTTTTAAAAAAAAATTTAAAAAACTTTTAGCCAATTTACAAGATTCATATTCTTCAAAATCATTTTAAAGTTTAAGAATTGAATCTTGATTACACAATTTTTTTCACATATTTGCAATTTATATGATAACCTCCCATACCAAACATTACAAAGAAACAATATAAGTAGATTTTTTTATTCATTTCATTTCAATATTATTTCATCACAAACATAGCTTTTTCTAATATTTTTTTTTAAATATCTATTGATTAACCAAATTAAAAACTAGCCTTACTAGAAAAAAAATTAAAAACCAAATTATCAATTTTTTTTAAAAAAAAACTATCTTTAAGAATCTCACTTTAAAAATCTCACCATAAGTAAATTTGATAACAACATATTCACCCTTAATATTTTAATTATGTGCAAATCATTAAGCATGATCTCTCTCTCATGAAAGATAATATAAGTGTTGGGTAAGGAGACGCTTGGTGTGGACCCATGCTATACTCTAGTGCTAGATTTCTTTTTATGTAAAAAACGATGTTAATTATTGTAAATATTTTTTAAAGAAAAAAATAATAGAATTGACTAGATTAAGTAAGTTAATTTTATTTTTAATTAGACAATAAGAAATAGACAATGACATCTCAAAATGATCAAATAATAAAAAATAATCATGATAACTTAAAAAATATTTTTTTCCAAAAGTAACAAACAATATAATTTAATTCACAATCCATTAAATACAGAAGGATGTAATTGGATAAAAAAATTGGCTCGGGTTACCTTAAGTTATCTTTGCAAACTTGTAACCTTGATAATTAGGATTGAGCCAACCTAGGTTATACCCATAGTTTCGAAACCCGATTCGGTCATCGACCAGGTCAAGTGATCAGGTTACGGGTTAGATGGGTTGACCCAGGTCAACCCCCTAGAAAAACTTACACTTACAGTAGTGAAAAATTAGTCTATGTTGAAAAAGAAAGCCTACGCTTCTATAACCATGTGAACATATACACTTACAGTTACAAGTCCAATAAACAAAATTGGTAAGCATTAACAGAAGCGAAAGCAAACAAACAGGGACATCAAATTCAACTTAAGCAGAACAGTAACAAAATTAATGGCAAATTGGTAAGCATTAACAGAAGCAAAAGCAAACAAACAGGGACAACAGAGGGCAGAAGCAATAACAACTAATTGCATAAGTAGAAGCAGAACGAACAAAATATTCACATCAATATTCACAACAAAGTTCAGTTCTTTGACCATTTGAAGTCGTAAAAAAATAAAAGAATAGAGAAAATAAAATATATACCTATGGAACTGCAAGCCTACCAATTCAAAGCAAATGAGTCAACAGAAGGAAGAATCGATGTCACTGTTATACTATAACAAAGCTCTCCTGCAAGTTCAATAGAGGGAAGAATATTTAAAAGATGTTTCAATTTGAAACAGAGGATATCGAAAATAAGAAACAAGTAACACTCATCTAATCTTATTCTTAGATTTGAAACGACGATAAAGGATTTAAGAGTCTTTTGCTCCTTTGCTCTTCTTCGTGGCTGAAATGGGTTTGAAGATTTCTTGAAATTAATTAGGTCTTCTCACTTCTGCATTCGTTCCTTTGCTCTTCTCGTGTTGGCCTTTTAATTGTAAAAGGCCAAAACGACGTCATTTCGGTCATGAGTATATATAAAAAAATAAACTTGGGTCTCATCCGGGTTTGACCAGCCTGTCCGGGTCCCGAGTCGACCGGGTCTAACCAGGCCAATTCCCAACCTATTTTTTATTAGACCTGGCCTGGCCATATACCCGGGTCGGTCGGATCCCGGGTCAACTCGCCAGGCCGTTTTTAAAACATTGGTTATACCGCTAAACTCTGATTTAGGTTGTGAAATTGAGATAACTTGATAAAAAAACAAAATATTAAAGCTCATTTTAAAAAATCAATGTCAAACAATGAAAGCAAAAAAGTAAATAAGTAAAACAAAAAAAAACAATGTCAATTTACGTTAACTTTTAAATTCATAATTCAGGTCATTGAATCAAAAGCACCTTATTTGAAAAAAAATATGAAGTCTAATTTTCAATCAATTAAATGTTGAATGGTGAATTTGAAAAGAAAAAACAATTTTAATTGTATAAAAGGATTCAAAATAAAAAATAGCAATTAAAAAAATAAGAATCAAAATTAAAATACAAAATAAATCTTATTTTTGATTAAAATTTGAAAAAAAAAGAAAAATCAATTTAACAAAAAGATAAAAAAATCAAAACAATAAAATAATGAGAATAAAAATTGAAATAAAAAATAAAAACAAAATTTTGATTGAAGGTTTTAATTGAAAAGAAAAATCAATTCAACAAAATAAACAAAAAAACCAATCAAATAAATGAAAACCAATTTGAAAAAAAAAATAACATATCCAAAATTAGATGTAATGATAAAATTGAAAAAAATATTTTTTTTTATAAAATGACAAGAAATAAAAAGAAGAAGAAAGAACCTAAGTGGCACTATAAAAATTTACATGGCCAACTCAAACGTAAGTGGCACTGTGAAAACTTACACGGCCAACTCAAATTTTAAAGGAAGGAAAAAAAATAAAGAGAAAAAAAAATTATTGTGAGTAGTTAACCATATTACCACAAATCATATACATCACCTCAAAAGAAAAAGGAAAGAGAATTTTTGCTATCAAGATGCACCACCTAAAAGGCATATAAGTCTCTGAGATGCATCATCCATCTTTTATATATATTTTTATTTAAATATTATTTTTTTAATTAACTTGATAATAATGAAAACAATATTGTAAAAATATAAAAAAATTCATTAATACTAGTTTTAATTTTTTGCTTTTAATAATTATTTTTCCTCTATCAATATTATAGTAACTAATAAGCATTGTGAAACCCCTAATATCTAATTTTAAGTATTTTTTGTGAAAAAGACAAAATCAGAAATTCATAGCTAACTTTCCCCTTACTGATTTAGTTTTTACTAGTTATTTAACCCGTGTTATGCCACGGGTCAAATATTATTTTTTCATAAAAAATTCTATATATAGTCTTTTTCGATATATTTTTGTAGTTAAAAAATTATAAGTGTAAATCAAAAAGTTTACGCATATATATAATAAAATAAATTGAGAAGTATGTGTGTTAATAAATAAATAAAAAACTCATCAATGACAACTAAAAATAAATTTAAAAAAATTAAAAAATAAATATAAATTAATATATTTAATATTGCAAAACAGAACATTTATCCTATTGTGTTTGCTAAATGTTATTAATTCAAATATGTTTTTATTTATGTAATTAAATTGTAATAGAAATAAACACATATATTAAATTAATTGATAAAATAAAAGAAAACAAATTATGCAAAGCTGTATATATCAAAAATATTATTTAGAAAAAATATCGTTATTTTAAAAAGTAAGTTGATCTATACAAAATAGATAAACCAAAAAAAATAGATAAACCGAAAAAATCTCTTCAAAAATTAGATACATATAACATACTTTTAAGAAAATCTCTATCCAAAAAAAGATAAATAAAGAAATAAAAAAACTCACATATGAACGACAAAACATAAATTTTAAACTTATTTTATAAAAAAACATAGAAAAGGTATTGATTAAAAAAGAAAAAAAAATAATTCCTTAAATATTGTAACTTATCTTGTCAAACTCGCAGTTCAAATTATGGGCTCAATCGGGCAAAATATTTTTTTATCTTAAATTTATACAAAACATATATATATATATATATATTAAAAAAGACAAAAGAGGGCAAAAAAACTAGCAAAGGTGTTCTAGCCTATAGACATGAACGTGTGGGTGGGTTTTCAAGTCCAAACTTATATATCTAAACTTATTTTTATTTAATTTTTGATATTTTAAAAGAACAAATGACGTTATCCTAAAAAAATACACAGATAACATGTTGCTTGCCAAGATAAATAACATGTTATTTATAAACCTAGATTTCAGCTACCATTGTAGTTGCCGAAAATCAAGGCAACAACTTTTTTCCTCCAAAACTCCTAATTCCAAGCCATTTAAATTAAAAAAATACCTCACTAACATTATTGAAACACCCATAAACCAATTTGTTAACTCAAAATATCCAAAAAATAATTTAAAAACTTAAAATCTAATCGAGCTAGATTTATCTTCCTCGGCTATAGCTCGTAGACACCAAAAACATTTATTTTGGTGGTCTGAAATGATTTAAATGACAACTTTCTCTTTTATCATTGAAATTCAATGACTCTTCTGTCTTTTTTTAATAAGAAAGTAAAAAATAATACAAATAAACTTTAAAATAAGAACTGATTTTATTTAAATTTTAAGGGATCTAAATTATATAATTTGTATTATTTTTAAAGTTTAAGAACTTAAGTATATTTTTATATAATCCTGGCATGACACTAATGTTTGAAATCTTTTTAATTTTAGTTTTTATTCTTTTAATTTTACCATTACTTAAAAAATTCAAATGAATTAATCATTAATTATAATTAAATTATTTAAAATAAAATTTTAAATATCAAAATAAATTATAAAAAAATACAAAATTTCACAGATAATGTTTTGTGTATATGTAAACGATGCCGGCTGTACAATCACTCACCCGTACATTTTAGATTTTTTTTTTTTATCTAATCTATGTCAGGTAGCTAATAAATCAACCCACCATATTTCTAAGTTCTCAGGGATATTAATCTGAGAAATCTTAATCGTAAGTGGCTGCTTGGTATCATTTTCAAAAGCAGCAAGTTCCAGCGTCATGTCCATATTTACCAAAAATAAAAACACTCAATGAACATGCACAAATCGGATGAAATACTTAATTATCACTAATATTAGCGGATTTATGAACCATTATAAAAATAATTAAAAAAACTTATTTTTCCTGACCTGACGAACAATTCTAATTTATATATTTTAAAACAATGTTAAGCCATGATCCAAACAGAGAAATTAATGAAATCAATATTCGGATGAATTAATTCAAAAATATCATGTGATAGTAAAAAAAAAGAAAGAAAATAACAAGAAAATGGAGTTTTTTTTTTCTTTTTTTATATTTAACAAATAAAATAATCTTATTATTAAAATATTGTTTTGGAGGATAAAGTTTCTGACAGGAGCCCTAAATTTGAGGGTCAAAATCAAGCAAAACAGCTTTTAAAAAAAAGGAAAATCAAGAATTGAAAAGTACAAAAGAATTCGGGTACCAACCAACCATGTTACGTCGAGTAAAGAAAATGATTTCATAATAATGGGTTAAAAAATTCAATTTTCATATTAAAAATTAATTTTTTATTATTTTAATGTATTATTTTTAAAAATAAAAAATATTATTTTAAAAAATAACCACAATTACACTTTTAAACATAATATAAAATAGCTTTTTTAATATATTTGAGTTTTTTTAAAATTTATTTATTTTTTATTTTATATAAAATTATTTTTTTAGATATTTTATTATATTAATATAAGAATAATTATTTTTTTAAAAATTATTTTAATATATTCCTTTCTAAATATATCTTAAATTTAATAACTACCACACTCCAAGTAAAGCTTGAAAAAATGGAAACTCAAGTAATTGAACAGGTAAAAGAATGTGGGTACAAACTATGCAATTTTTCCGTTCCTTTTAATGTACGGATATTTTATAATTAGATCGAGAAAAGAAAAATAAATAAATAAAAAATTCCTTTGCTGCCTCGGGCGAAACCAGAATTATCACTTCTCGTCTTCTTCAATGATATGTAGTGCAGTCCTGGACTTGAATTTGGTTTGTGAGTCTTTTCACCAGTGCCAGGTCTTGACTTTTTTATGCTTTTGTTTGTGTTTCCCTATGAGTTATAGGGTAGTTGAGTGAAAATGTGACCTGGGTTTTAATTTTTCTTCTTTTTAATGCCTTTACAAAGATTGAGATCCCTGGTTGTGATCAATGCCTGACCTGTTTATTATCTCATATAGCATTTTAGATATTTCTTTCTGCGATCAGGTACATTAGTAGTCACACTCAGATAGTAATCTTGCCCTTCTGTAATATACCATGGTTCACATAGGGGACACTAGTCTCATTGTTATTGATAAAGCGGTCTCTCTTTTTGGTTGGAGGTGTGGTGGGGTGTGGAAATGTAAAGGGCCTTACATTAGATTAATGGGGGATTTGGGCAGCCAAAACATCAAAATGAGTACTCGAAGAAATCTGGTTGTGTTTGACTCGAATACCTTTCTGATTATTTTCATCTTAAAGTATTGTTTTTGTTTCTTTGATTAGTTAATTAAGTTGTTTGATGTAAATGAAACAGTCTGTCTGTTACTGATTATACAGATTAGGAGGGATGTTGAAGGTTCAAGACTTGAATATCATTTTGCGGAATTTTGGGGAGCAATGCAGATGGCAGGATCTTTCTCAGGTTCTGCTGTTTCTATTATTCTGATGCTCATGTTTCTTAAATGCATTTACATAACTAACTTCCTGATGCTTGCAGCACGTCATCTCTTTGTTTCTTGGTTTAGTATTTTTTTTGTGCACATTATCATACAGTCTTTCACAGCTGCTGCTCCTCTCATGGTGAAATACATTTTATTTTTTCCTTTTTTCATTTTCTTAGATTTGATTCTTCCATGATGTGATTTTAATACCAAGTCAAGTCCCTGGAATACTTGTACCAGACGAGAAGAAAATTGTCTTTTACTTTAACTGTAGATTTATTGTTCTATCATTGAGACTATTTTTGTTCATTTATATTTTTTCCAGTGGTGTCAGCACCTATTTTAGACTTGTCACTATATTTTAGAGACACAGGAAGATGATGAAATTGCGGTGTCCAATAACAAGAAACACAATTGACACTATGCATTATCATCATGAATTCACATCCTATTGCAACTTTTTCCCTCCTAATAAACGGGTAATTTTTCATTCAAAATGATATGTCAAGAGTTGCATGTATAGGGGCAGAGTTAAGGCTTACATGGAATCAGACTAATTGGGGCATAATAATCATCAACAATTCAATTTGCTCTAAATTTTTGTTGCAGTTTCTCATTATTTTGACCCGTAGCCAGTTGGCATACAGCGCTGAGTGCCACCACTGCTTAAACTTTCTAAAGTTTTGTCAGTCAAGAACAACTTTAAGAAAGCAGTAATGAGAGAAGTTGTAGTAATGAGAGAAGTTGTACCGTAGTGGGGAACTATAGTTTATCGAGCTTCATATCTTTCAATTGCATATGATTTAATTGACTACTTAAAGATAAATGACCAAAAGAAGTACTTATAAGGGAAAAACACAGTAATTAATAGGCTCACATCCCAATTCATTAAAACCGAGTAAGGGATCTAGACAATCCAATTTTAAATGATTCACAATTTTGCTCCATAGATTCTTCCTCTTTTTATTTTTATTTATTTATTTATTTATTTATTTTTTGATATTTTTGGGTATGGCTAGAATCAGTAACTCAAGAACAGACAGACTTTGGTTCTTGGTAGGAGTAGATCACTGATAAGTTCTTGTAATTAAATCGATCAAATTTATGGTTTTGTGAAGTTATCTGTTGAGAGTTAATGGGATCATATAATTAACGTGTCCATCTTGCATTTCAATGCAGCAGAATGCTTTAGTTGTCAGGTATCAAAATGCTTTCCTTCCTTGTCATGATACTGGCGTTCATGTATAGCATCAACCCTTTAAGCATCATCAGAAAAGGATCCACATCTAGGTTTTTTCTATTTTGATCAATCATTTTTATCTTCACCTCAAAAGGATTTTTTGCTAGAATTATAGGTTGATAGTTTTTACAGCTCTTCTTCTCTAATTTCTACTCATTTTGTGCTGAGAACTTTCCATTCATAATTCACTTCATCTGCCAAAAGGACTTTTGTGTTATTGTAACCCCCACTCTTCTTGGTGTGCATGCTTGCCTGCCAAATTGAGGTGTTTTTTTTTTGTCTCAACATAATCTGTAACTTCAGTTGTTTTTCTTTCCCTGTAGTTGAGATTATTCTTGTTTCATCGTTACTTTGTGACTATTGCAGCTCTTTGATTGGATGCAACGGCAAAACAAAATCAGTGCTTCATCTTATAGCAGTTATATAAAGTTCATGGGGACAAGTCCTAACCCGGCAAAGGCATTAGAAATATACAACAGCATTCCTGATGAATCAACAAAAACTAATGTCTTCATATGCAATTCACTTCTTAGATGCCTGGTCAGGAATGCCAAGTTCGATAGCAGCATGAAATTCTTTCATAAGATGAAGAACAATGGTCTAACACCAGATGCTATTACATATAGTACGGTATGTAAAATTTGAAAGTGCCATTTAGTCATTTAAATTTGCAACTACAGCTAGAGAAATGAGGATAGAATTCTATCTTTGGTAGACATTATCACACTAGTCATATTGACATTTGGTTTATTGTTGCTTCTTGTCTAACAAGTACCGTAAAAAAATGCTTCCATAATATGGGTCTAAGAATGGAAACAGTAGCTGATGGTGTCTGAATGCAGTGCCCCACATCATTATTGCGCATGGTCTTTACATGGCTCCTATTTAATGTTTTAGATGTTAAGTTAGGAACATGCCTCTCCACGTCTTCAAGCTTTTATTGTTTCTTCTCTGGTGCCATACAACAAACCCATGTATATTAATGTCTTTATGTGTACATGGGAATGTGTTAAGTTATATACAACTTTATAAACGTGTGTGTATGCATGATTTAGACCAAAACTGCATCTGTTAAGATTTCATACTGATTCCTTTTTATTTTGTTTTAAGTTGGTTGTCCTGGCACCCAATCCTGCTGCAGAAAGAGAGAATGTGTTCATTGATAATTGATATGGTTATATATTTAATCTATATAGAATCAGCTACATGCCTGCTTTTAAATCTACTGGGGAATAGAAGATTTTCTTGCATTCTAATTTTTCTGATTTCTTTCATTCACCATCATCACTAATAATTTTTTTTTGGCTTCTTAGCTGCTTGCAGGGTGCATGAAAATCAAAGATGGGTATTCTAAGGCATTGGATCTTGTTCGGGAACTGAATTATAATGGACTGCAGATGGACAGCATAATGTATGGGACACTTTTGGCAGTTTGTGCTTCAAATAATCGGTGTGAAGAAGCACAAAGCTACTTTAACCAGATGAAGGATGAGGGTCATTCGCCCAATATATTCCATTATAGCTCGTTACTCAATGCATACTCTTCCGATGGAAACTACAAGAAGGCTGAAGAGTTGGTGCAGGACATGAAATCTTCAGGGTTAGTACCGAATAAGGTTTGTTTCATGTTTTTCTTGCCATGGGTTTTTAGTGGTGTAACATCTTTGCTTGTTTCCATTGCAATAAATATAAGAGAATTCTGCATTCATTGTCGCCCTATTGCCAGTGTGTATTTCTATCCTCTTATTACCAAGCGCCAAACTGACTTGGTTTCAGTGGCTCTGAATTGATGTTGGTTCAAATAATAACAATAATTGTGGGAAAAAAAAGTAAACTATAGCCCTTCCTAAATAGATCATCAAAGCAATAACCTATTTTTTAGATTTAATTCCACAGCTAGACTTCAATAGCTTATACTTGTGGAAACAGTTAAGGTCAAACACTTTGTTCCTTATCATGATACCTTTTGTTGTATTTATGAGGAAACTTGACCATAAAATATCTAATCGAGGCCAATGGTATTCTTGTTGCAAAACATTACGTTATAGCTTCGTTCATTTTCTTCTTGTTGCAGATTCAATTTTTTCTTGATCTCTATTTGGTATATTGTGCTGCTTAGACCTTTTGATTTGATATATTTTCATTTATTTGTCAGATAATAGATGAACATCGAGACCTTTTCTTAGCCTTATCTGCTGCTTTTTGGTCCCTTGGACTATTTTTCTTACACTTTTTTTTTTATTTGTCAACAATTAAATTAATCATTGAATCCTTGGCATCAGTGTTTCTTAATTTCATTCTAATGCTTGCAGGTAATATTGACAACTCTGTTAAAGGTATATGTAAGAGGAGGCATGCTTGAAAAATCCAGAGACCTTCTTGTGGAACTGGATACCTTGGGCTTTGCAAAAGATGAGGTAAATGAAGTTCAAACTGGCATATTAATGTCTGATCAAAGCTGTATTTTCTATCTCTTAAGTTTTTGGATGGAAATTGAGACTGAGGAAATTATGTCAACAAATTGGTTCCGGGTTCAATATTTTCTGGAATCTACAGCCATCCTTCTTTTTTTTCTTTCCTTTTTCTATGCTTCTGTAGCTCATTACATGTAAATCAATTTGTAGATGCCCTATTGTTTATTGATGGATGGCCTTGCAAAGAATGGGCTCTTAGATGAAGCAAGATCAGTTTTCAATGAAATGAAGGCAAAACGTGTTAAATCTGGTATGTAATCTATGACATGTTGGCATTTTACAATTCTTATCTGATACTTATCTATAACATCTGTGACTATGGATTTGGTAACGTGCTTGTGTTAATGTGAATAAGAAGCTTAAATTCCATTTAGTTGCCCATAGTGTTAATCTCTAAGGGTTTAACTGGAAGCATATTTAACTTAATATATATGATCTTCATCAAGTGTGCTATTTTCCTTGTTTATCCTCTGTAATCAATTTTGGGGATTGAAATTATTTGGCAATGGATTCAGGATAAGTTTTTCTTTTTGGTTTTGGTTTTGGATTTGATTTTATATTATCCGCCAGCTTCTAATGTTCTGCTTTGTTCATAGATTGGAATCATTATTACTACAAGCAGTTCACTACAATATGATGTTTGATGGATGGCTTATATGAACCCATATCACTGTTAATGTGTGAATATTGACTTTGTTTGACCATTTTGTTTGTTTTATAAGCTGTCTGAACTACATTTGTTCATGACTACATTTTGTCACATCCTCAGATTGCTAGAATATTTTGTGCATGCTTCTACTGTCTATACACCCTGTTGTTTCTTTCAAGAGAAAACCTACATATTGTGAACATAAATCCTTTTTCCTGTCTTCAGGTGGCTATTCGTACAGTATCATGATTTCATCATTTTGCCGAGGTGGCCTTTTTAAAGAGGCAAAGGAGTTGGCGGAGGAGTTTGAAGCCAAGTATGATAAATATGACGTAGTTATATTGAATACAATTCTTTGTGCCTACTGTAGAACAGGTGAAAAAGAGAATGTGATGCGAACAATGAGGAAAATGGATGAATTGGCGATCAGTCCCGACTATAATACTTTCCATATTCTTATCAAGTATTTTTGTAAGGAGAAGTTATATATGCTTGCTTACCAGACCATGGAAGACATGCATAGGAAAGGCCATCAACCTATGGAGGTATGCTTGCTTTTTATTTATACCTAACTTCTTGCTAAGAGACTTCTGAGAATGCCCCTTTGATTTATTTATCCATTTGTTTTATTTCCAATACAGTTTGAAGTCTTCTAATCTTATTCGCTATTGAATTCAGACATGATCATGCAAAAGCATGATAAAGACCCAGAAATTAAGAAACTGATCCAGTACTTTCTAGTAGCCTTCGAAAATGGGCTGCAATCTGTATTTAGAATAAACAAATTAACTGAAAGATTGTGACTTTGAAACTTTTTACATCTATTCTTTTTTCCAGGAGCTTTGTTCTTCATTGATTCTTCATCTTGGTAAAATTAAAGCCCATGCAGAAGCCTTTTATGTTTACGGTATGTTGAAGTCTAGCAGAAGGACAATATCAAAAGCCTTTCACGAGGATATTTTACACATTCTTATTGCTGGAAGGCTTCTCAAAGATGCTTATGTAGTAGTTAAGGTATGCTGTACTCTCTTGAAGATTATTGGATATATTATCTGTTCTTGCATTGATTGTTTTCTTTAAACATTTTTGTCAGGATAATGCAGAATTGATCTCTCCTGCTGCAATTAAGAAGTTTGCAAGCTCAGTTGTGAAGCTTGGTGACATCAATTTGATAAACGATGTAATGAAGGTTATTCATGGTTCTGGATACAAGATTGATCAGGTAATGATGATGGACTTGTATGAAATTATATTTGGTGATATTTTGCTTGTTTTTGTTTGACGGAGAAACTTGCAGTTCAGTCGTTACTTCTAGTTCATAGTACCATGCCAAACTCATGATGCATGTTAGGTTGTGGGGACTCTGTTATAAAGATGAGGCGTGCTGGGAATTGTAAACTAGATCATATTACCATGCCAAACTCATGATACATGTTAGGTTGGGGACTCTATTATAAAGATGAATGCATGCTGGGAATTGTAAATGCTAGAGGCATCAGGATTTGATGATTTCCTGTATCATATCGAAAAAAGTTCTGCAGCATTTTTTTCCTTAGTCTTAGATGGCATCAGAATACCAGATGGTCTCCAGTTAGAACTAAGGGTAAAATTCATTATTCCCCTAAAGTATATAGGTTCTATCAATTACCCCCTGACATCTATCAATTTATCAATGAAGTCTTTTGTCTATCTATGTTAGCAAAACTAATGGAAATGCCCTTTTGTTTTGTAAACTTCAATTTACTCTGAGAAGTATGGATAGTTTATCAATTAGCTACTTAAACAAATTTTAACATGATTCAGTTTAAAGATAAAATTTGATTTTGAAAACAAAGCAAATTCACTTGAAAAAAAGGGCATGGAAAATATAACCTATGCAATTCAATCAATAAAGGAAAGGTACAAAACAAAGTTCACCTAAGATTTTTTTCTAAAGAAACTAGACCAATAAAAACATAAAATATAAAGCCGCATTCACTTTAGATTCAATCGATACTTACAAACACACACACACACATAAATACTAGTTCATTTTGAAAAAGAAAAACACAGTCAACATGATATATTTTTCAAAAAAGTTAAGTTGGGAGTTGACATAAAAAGGGGCACTGAGTGTTGTAGCTTTGTGGAGATTTCTACTATTGGTTTTCATAAGGTTCGACGAGGTGGCTTCTCGTGTGTAATGATGTTGAGCTAGTGAAAATACATTAAGAAAGAGAAGTGGAGAAGGCAAAATAATGGATCGAAGAAAATACATGTGAATTTGATTTTGAAACTAAATTAGTTTCCACTTTTTTTTCATTCTATGAAAGTTTACATAGCAAGTTGAACTTGTGTCTAAATCATACACTTGAAAGTGCTTCAATTCCCCCCCTCTAAACTCACTGTAAGTATAAAAATCTTCTATTAATTGAATTTTAAGTGAATTTGGCTTTGTATTTTTCACTGTCTTATGCTTTTATTTTATTTATTGATTTTTTTTGTAAAAAATATTAGTGAATTTGGCTATGCATTTTCATTTTTGATCAGATTTTACATTTATCAGATTATTTTTTTTATGTGAATTTGCTTTAAAAATCAATGTGTGTGTATATATATATATTAGTTAACTAGCTATCTACATTTTGGAGAGGAACTTCAAGTTTAAAAAATAAAACGAAATTTTGCATTATTTTTTTTATGGAGGTAGACAAAATGACCTTATCGTTAAATGCATGAAACATCCAAAGGGTAAATGAAAGAAAACAAATATGTGGAAATAATAGAACACTTATATTTAAGGGGATAAATTGAAGTTTACCAAAGAAGTAATTGCGGAAGGAAATGGAAAAGGTATAATGTATTTGACTTGGGACACCAAAAATTGATATTGAACAATGAAAGAGCAGGGGGGGAAAAGGATAGAAAAAGTAGAATCCGTTTAGCAAAACTCTTGGGTCCTCCCTGTAAACTCAAATTCTGTATCCATTCATTATAACAGTTCCCTAGTGAGCATAGGCGCATAAATGCCCTAAGAAAGTCCTACTAACATAGGGAAATAAAATCCTACTAAAAGAAAATATCAGAAAAGAGCCCTATTGATAGTAAATTCCTAATTATAAGATATGCTAAATAATAAATTTTCTAAACAAAAACAAAATTCTAAAACTTTTATCAACTCCACTAGATGTTGCAGCAGTAGCAAGGAAGGCTTTCTGAAAACAGCCAAGAAATTGGGTTTTCTCGAACTTTAAAAGCGATGAAATCAGAGGATTTAATACCAATTGATGTAGAACTAGACAGATGAAATTCAAGGAAGTTTTTGATCCACTAGGCAACCCTTAATCCCTCAAGAAGTGTTTCCTGAATCCACAAGAGAGGGGTTTTTAAATCCACTAAAAAAAGAAGAAACATGATGAGGTCCACCTCTCAAAATGACCATGAAGTTCTAAATCTACCTTCCTAATCCAATGTATAAGTGTGATAAAATAGGAAATAAAACCCTAATAAATAATAAAATAATCACAAGGAGGAAACTTGCAAAAGAATGAAGCCCTATAAAATTAATAAAACTACGATTGTCTTGAAAATTATTCTTCTTGTACCGCATCAGCTGGGCACGCCCACAAATTAGAACTTGCACTTCCCAAACACCAGCAATTTGCATCAACTCTTGAGGAATATGACTCCTGAGTAGTTGATAGATAAATGCACGGCATGCAACTTCAGAGGCCAATTTCCCTCCCTGACCCTGAAATCTAAGTCATTTTTCAGCATAATCAGCTGTCTTCTTTTTCACAGGAACTATTTCAGATGGCTGTGTCACGTTACATTGCTGAACCTGAAAAGAAGGACTTGCTTATACAATTGCTATCGTGGATGCCAGGCCAAGGTTATGTTGTTGATTCCTCAACAAGAAACCTGATTCTTAAGAACTCACACTTATTTGGTCGCCAGCTCATTGCTGAGATCCTGTCCAAGCAGCACATGACGTCAAAAGCCTTGAAATCTCAGTAGACGAAGGAAAACTATTACTGTTGGAGTTTATCCTTTTCGAGCATTTTTAACCAAGTGTGTTACATTTTCCCTCTCCATCTTTTGTGCAGAACTGTTCTTACTCCATGGACATCTAATAGATCTGACTATACATTCATGTGACCAGATTTAGAAATTTTCCTGTTTTAATGTAGCGAGTAATCATCACCATCAAAAGGGAAAAAAAAGAAGGTAATTAGTGATCCTTATTCTATTTGGCAGCACTACCTTTTTTTTTTAAGCATTGATGCTGCCTAACTTTGGGATGCTTGTAAAAAAAAAAAAAAGACGTTTAAATTGCGATTACACTATAACATTCACCATATATATTAAATTGAAAAAATCTATAATATTCACCATATATATTAAATAGAAAAAATCGAACAAGAGCACAATTTCCACTCGTCAAAAATTTGGTAAGTAATTATAGATCTCAAAGAGAAAAAAAAAGAGGGTGTGATGAAGCCGGAATTACAACTATGGTGGCAGAACTGCTCGATGATTGCACAGAGGATGAAGTTAGGCCTTGAGACCAACCCCTAATCAGTTGGAGTCTATGCCTTAGACAAAGCAAGGATTATTGCACACCAATCTTCAGTCCCAGAGATTGATTTTTGTCTAGTTAAATTTGATTAGCCAGTTAGATTTAAGGATTAGCCTGTCTCTTTTCATGATAGACAGGGAAGCCCAATCTACAAAGTGATGTTTATGCATTCGGTGTGGTTCTTCTTGAGCTTTACACGGGGCGTAGATCGGTAGACTTGAACTAGCTGGGACCAAGTGATCATAAGAGAGGCCGTCGATACATTTCACAGCAAAGAACTGGGGATTTTTCCAGCTGACGCGATATTGGGTGAAAGGGCCTGTAATCTGTCAAACGCCGAAGGGAATGTCTCGCTTCTGATGATACAGATACGCCGTCCATAAAATGGCAGGACCGTCAAAGGTGTGTTTGCTACTATGTGTTTTGCTGCACTCGTCCTTTATAAAATCAAGAGTATTGTTAAATATATTCGTTTCCATTTGTTTTCAAGGACATGAAGTGCTATATTGCTATATTTCCCAGTTCACAGGAATTTGGGATGTGCCTGCTCAGATCCAGGGCTCATGGCAAATGTATCTAGACTCGTACAAGAGAACGTGTAGGAATACTTCGAAAGGTCATTGCAGCATCAACATGACAGTGAAGAGTCATGGCGCAATCGGTGTCTGTACAGGATACAAATGAATCCTATCTGACCAAGCATTTCTTTCCTCTGGATTGGGAACAGAAATGGATTTCCAAACTGCGCTGTTACACTTAAAACCACTTCCAAATGCAATTTGCCAAATCCTGTCTCCCTTCTTCACCGCTCCCTTGGCTTCCAGATAGCAGAGTTCATACCAGACTGAAGAAGAAGACGTGTTACCAAATCTATAAAGCACCATCCTTGAAGCTTCTCCATCTTCCTTTTGCAGCTTCAGATTACTCTCCACAGCATCAATTATGGCCCTCCCCCCAGCATGTATGCAGAAATGCTCGAAAGCCTTTTTAAAATTTGGCACGTAAGTCTCTCTTTTCCCCGCTGTAACCCAAAGTTTCTGATGCACAACTCCCCACCCGTATCGGAGCTGTTCAAGATACGGCAGCACAAGGGGGCCAAGCTCTGATATATTGGTTCTTAACGCGTTGCCTGCGACATGTAAAAGTGACCTTGATAGTGACACTCCTACGAACCCTTCTTCGTCATCTTGTTGAATGACAGAAGTGTATGATCGGTCATCGGATCCCATGTGGGTACGGACAAGGTGCAGGAGCTTGTACTTTGCTCTCTGCTCATCGTCTTTCTTGTTAGACAGCAAAACAGCAGCTCCACCCATACGAAATATGGTGTTGGTTACAAGCATCGACTTAGTTTTACCGTGATAACCATTCGAACTGATAGCTTCCGTGCTCAGAACTAAAGCCAACGAATTCTTGTGAACTTTCAAAAGGTCTTTAGCCAAACTTATCGACAAGAGTCCGGCACTGCACCCCATCCCGCTTAGGCTGAAGCTCTTTATGTTGCTTCGGAACCTGAACTTGTTTGTGATCATTGCAGTAATGGATGGAGCAGGACAGAAAAGGCTACAGTTGGATATTAAAATATCAATGCTCTTAGGACTGATGTTGTGCTTGGAAAGAAGATCTTCAACGATCGGGAAGAGAACTTGTCCAACCTCTTCAAGAGATGCTTTAAATGAAGCTTCAGGAGGCAGCTCATGCAATGCAATAGGCATGCAAGCTTCATCTCCAATGCCAGATCTTTCCACAACTCTTTCTTGGAACTCACTGCAGTCTGTGTTGAAGGTACCGCCGACGTGCAAATGTTCTATGAAATTAGAGATTGTGACTCGCAAGTTATCCGCTGGAAGATAGCAAGTGAAGTCAATGAGATAGACAGAATTGGATCTGAGAGCACAGTAGAGAAAGCAGGTTATCAAAGTGATTACAAGGAAGAAAGGAGTAAAGGAGAAAGGAGCTTCAAGGAAAGGTGTTAGTATTTCGATTCCCATTGATGAAAACTCGAAATTGCTTTCTTTTCCTTGGTTTAATCACTCCCACTTGCAATGGTCCTTGGGATATATATGAACATGGAGCTCTTTTATGCTGTTGCCATTGAAAGAAGTTTTAGGAAGCAACTTGTTTTAGACAACCACACGAAACGAATGGGGCGGACAATCGAAGCTACCGTTTCCTAAATGCAATGGTCATGAATAAATTGTTCATGAAAATTAGCTGAAAAGATTGCTTGACTTACAAGCCAAGCAGAAACTTAAAATCTCTAATTAGTGCAGCTCCTGTGCATTCAAGCAGGAAAGGCAACCTAGCTCACTTCTATAGTCACTGCATATGCATGCGCAAATAAATTATTATTATTATTATTATTACCATCCTTTTTAGATTGGCTGCATTTGGGCAGATTTGGACGATCAAGATCAGATCAAGAAAGCTAAACTAAAATTAGTTGGCAATTAAGAGATCAAGCTTTGCACTGAGGCTTTCAGATTTCTGACGCAACCCCTTGGTTGTTCTCAAGTGTATAGTCACTAGAAAGGAATTTCTGGGCCAGGAGAAGGAAGAAGCCATGCCAAACTCTCTTTTCTTCCAAATATTGGATCCCTTATTGAAACTCAGAATCCGCCATTTTAGATCACGTAGGACTATATTGACATGGAAAATATATAATTATCAGAATGCGAAAGGGAAAACTGTGGGAAGCAAAAGTCTCTTTGCCTTTCGTTTTGGTGTCTGTTCTTGTTGCTGTTTATTCAGAATTCAGATAGGAATATGATCCAAGGCACGAGAACTAAGACTTTGTGTGGATCTCTTTGGACACAGGAAGCAATTCTTGGAGAGTTTTTCTTCATTAGAAGATGCTTGAGCGAAATAATCAACCGGAGGATTTTCCCAGCACATACAATTCTGAAATATGCGCATTCAACAACACTTTACGTAGCAAGCTAGTCACCTCGAATCATAGCCATGATTTACGTCTAATGTCTAGTGAATTTGTTTGTGGATTAAATAGGTTTACAAATCAACTCAATTTAATTTTTAATTAATTAAAACTGTATGATTCTTTTTTCTATTTCGTTTTGGTAAAAAAATAATAATTAAAACAATATATATATTTTTTTAAAAACCGGGTTTAAAATAAATTAAATCTGATTTTTACTTAGATTTTAAGTTGATGGGTCATCTAATTACGGAAAACCTAGATTATATATATATATATATATATATATTGTAAAATATACTTCAAATATAATAACTTCAAATAATAATAGAAAGTTCAGGCTGTTTAAAGAAAAAAATTAGCATGTTGTTCTTTTGTTGGTTTTGAGCAAGAAGCTTCATTTACAATGACTGAAATATATGTTTAATGGAGAGATAATAGTTATAAAACCTGAAATTAACGAACTGACTTAATTTTTCCATAATTATAATAATATTTTTATGAGTTTTTTTAAATGATGTTAAAAAAAGTTAAAATAATATGTTTTAATTAAAAATAATTAATTTAGAATGAAACCAATTACGACTAGGTTTTGAGTCGATAATTTACTGAATTGATGGATAATAACTTTAAGTATATATTTAGTAATATTGTGAATAATATTTTTATAAAAGTATATTTTAATGAAAAATATATTAAAATAATTTTTTAATTTTTTTATATTGATTTTAGCACTTTAAGTTAAAAAACACCTAATTTTCAAGAAAAATTAATTTTAAAAACATTTTGATAAACCGGGTGAAATGCTTCACGAAATAGAGCACAAATAAAGGTCGAAAGTTATATATATATATATATAAAAGGAAAGATAAAAGAACAAATTCATGGGCATACCTTGATTATTCTTCCTCGTCCTCGATTCCTTTCTCATAAATAATGAGCAACAAGCTTCACTTCCAATGGCTGAAATCGGGATTTTGCACGGATGCCGTAGTTATAATCCCTGAACTTGGACTTGAGTTGCAGATTCATGGATGAAATCAATTTGTTTTGTTATTTTTTTTATTTTATATATATAAACTAAAACAATATTATTTTAGAAAAATTAAAATAAAAAATTGATGTTACTAGATTTTAAGGTTTTTAAATTATGAAATTAACCTATCACATCAAATTAAATTTTATATTATCAATGATGTTTCATATATAATAACTTCAAATAATAGTAAAAAGTTAGGGATGTTAAAATCATTTAAATTTATTTTTTGTTTAAATTATGAATTAATGGATTGATTTAATTTAATTTTATATAACTAAAATGATATCTGTTTGAGTTTTACTTTTAAACTACATATGTTGCTGGTGTGTTATTAGAGGGGTTGAATAATTTTTTTTAATGCAAAAGAAATGATTGGTTAAAAACAATTTAAGCCCTAAATCAATGATTGAATTGACAAATTTAATATTAAAAAAATAATAAATAAAAAAACAATGAAAGAAAAGAAGAATCATACTCAAGCCTATTCTGATTATCAAACAATTCAATACTAATCTAATTAAAGAAAAACTAGGGAAAGAAGAGTCAAAACTTAAAAATTAATAAATAAAAAACACCAATTTTTTTTTTTTAAAAATAACAAAATTGAGACGAACCTCTTAAACATAGTCTAATATAAAAAATTGCAATCAAAGGGAAAAATAAATTAAGAGTTGATGAATTAATTTAATTTAATTTTATA